AATGTCTAGACTTTTAGATGTACAATTTCACTGTGAAGGGAAAAAATAGAAATGTCAAAATTTTATGTGCAAAGATATTCATCAAAAGTTAACAGTGATGCAAAAAAACAAAGAACAACTGTAAAATGAAATGCCCAATGTTAGGGGGATGATCCAACATGAGAGTAAGGGTCCAGGAATAGGTATACGCACTGTTTCTTTCTTTTATAAAATACGGAGGATTTGCACTTGTTACCTTAGAGTAATTTGCTTAAGCAACGTCTAGTAAGATTGAGAATTCAAGTGCATTTCCTGAATAAATCACTGAATCATCAAGGGTTTTCGAAATACTTCTCAAAAAGATGTGAAAGTATTTATTACAGCTCTGACATGTAACAAATTGCTGCCCCGTGCTTTTAGGGAAGGCCAGCATGATGGCAAAATGAGCAGCATTCAGGGATAAATGGGTGGCAGTTATCTGTGAAAGGAGCCGCGGCAAGATGAAAGATACTTAATTTTCTTTACCATGCTTATACGTAGCAAGCAATATAGTACTCTTCTTTTTCTTGGGAAGACGTACTAAGCCACGTAGCTTCCATGTGGAAGTGATTTCATCTTCTAATTAAGATCGCGTTTAAGAATAAAAGCAGAGGAAGGAAACCAGCTTACCACGGGTATCATACCAAAAGCCTGGGGAAGCGGGAGGTCTTTGAAGGATAGAAGATGAAGGTAGTTCGGGTTCAGAAGGAAGTGGTTTCGTAGACCTTGTTTTTTTGTCTTGCTTGTTGTTGTGGTCATTATTGGAGTGGTGTCTTAGACTCATTTAGGGTTTAATTCTGACATATTTATAAAGAGAGACAGGGCTTGTCTGGGTTTGGTAGCACCCCTGTTGTTAGAGGTTAGCCGAAGTTTACCCTTCACATCTCATAAAGAGTTCTGTTACTTCACTTCTAGAAGGCTTGCTTACATGGTATTTGAACTGTAAGATTTTAAGCCGTTGGGCTTTTAAAATACAGACTAAAACTTTTTTTTTTTTTTTTTTTTTTGCGGTACGCGGGCCTCTCACCGCTGTGGCCTCTCCCGTTGCAGAGCACAGGCTCCGGACGTGCAGGCTCAGCAGCCATGGCTCACGGGCCCAGCCGCTCCGTGGCATGTGGCATCTTCCCGGCCCGGGGCACGGACCCGTGTCCCCTGCATCTGCAGGCGGACTCTCAACCACTGCGCCACCAGGGAAGCCCCAGACCAAAACCTTTAAAGATAAGTTTCCCAAATGCTTTAAACAGAGAATTAAGAAATGAGAAGAAAAGAAAGACAAAAGAGGAATAGCTTGGGATTTTAGTACCTGTGCAGGCAGTATTAATCAGGACCAAAAGAAAAAGGGAAAAGAAAGTAATTTCACTGATGGAATTCAGGTGCATTAGTTTCAGTACATGCTGAAACAGATTTATAGAGAAATGTTTTATTCTAGGTTGCCTTGGACCAATTTATTTTAATCCTGTGGAAATAGATTGAGAGCAAAAAAAGAATGATTTGCTTAATTAAAGTTTCATTCTATTTTGAGGGTCTATTAATAGTTTAATACTATACATGAAAAGAAACAAAACAGAACTCAGGAAGGAGTGTGCCTAATGGCGATATTTCTTTATAGTTGCAAAGCAGCAGTGTGTGTGATGGAAATATTAAGTCCAGGTTTGCTCAAAGTGCATTTGAGCCTGGCATTATCATCTTTGAGTTAAATGAACAGAATTTACATTTGCTATTCCAGCAGTTACCAAGGAAGATCAAAATTTTAAAAAGCAATACCTATCTGCTTTTCAAAAACTGTGTGTGTATGTGTGTGTATATATATCCATACATATATGTATACACACACTCATGGGAACAGCTTTCAAATTGAATTTTATCTCAGGATGGATTAACTGAAATAGAATAACGTACATATAGGTTTTGGGTAGTTGCTTATTCAAGACGTGTTATATTGAAACCGTCAATGATCTGATTTTCAGTACAAAAAGGAGAGTAGAATCCGAATTCTGTTTTTGGCTGTAGATGTTGTGAAAAACACCTTCAAAATGAATTTCAGATTTCCCTGTAGCCCTTTTCATACTGTAAGGCAGTAGGATATATTTGTGGCTTTATAACGCCTCTCGTTGGTTTGTTTACAATTTTATAAACGAATATGTAAGTACAGAATTCTCTGTCTGTGTGTGCATACGCATATCTGTGTCCTTGCAGCATTAGAGAGAGAGGTTACTGTTTTGGGGACAATATGGATTGGGTTGAGAAGCTAGAGGCAGGAAGAAAAGAGCTCACCAGGAGGGCAAAACTGATGGCCGAGCTTGAGGGCAAGAGTAGTGTGGTTAGCCAGCAGCCCCCTACTCACTCCCCGCAGCCCTCGTGGCTCTCCCTCGCCCCAGCCACGTTCTCACTTCTCTACAGCTCTAGTCTGAGAAATCAGAAGGGAATTTACAATATTGAAAAGTGGAGGGAGACATTAAAATTTTCTGACTCCAGATTTCAGAAGCAGAAATACACTTCAACATCAGTGAAGTCCCAACACCAGATTTTCAGATTGAGTGAACTAAGCCCAGAAGAAGATAAAGGCTTTGCTAGTCAGCAGGAAAAGCAATACCAGCATCAGAGGCTCCCGGTTTCCAGGTTGGAATGCTTTTTATGACTACATTCTGGGAGAATTCTAGTAAAAGTTAAACCAAGAGCCTCTTTTTGATTCACGTCCTCGCTGTAGGCAGGGATACTGCAGCGGCCCCGGAGGCAGAGGTTGGGAAAGATGCTTGAACCTTCTTTTTCTGGAAGAGAGCAAAATATTGCCCAGGAAGAGGAGTCATCCGATACTAAGTGAAGTTTCCCCTTGATCTTTTTAGAAGTAATTTTAGAAGTCTTCATCAGGCAAAACCAGATCCTTTCCAGATGGTGCCTTACACACCTCATGATGCTGGAGGATCAGACCCTGCATCCCACGGGTGCTGCCCTTGTTTCATGTGTGTTCCAAGCTCTTCAGATTGATTGGGAATCTTTGGCCTCAGGTTGCCCTTGATGTCACAGGTCTTTCTGCTTTCATTTATGTATGCACAGGGGAATTTGCCTTTCCAGCTTTTGGAGCTGTATAGGTGCAGCTTGTCCTCCTAAGCCACATAAAACCACGTACCAGACCACTTAAAGTCCAAAGCTTCAATACATGAGACTTTTACAGGAAAGGGAACAATCTTCCGATAGCATTATTTACAATTCTCTATTCTAAAACTTAAAGTACAGACATACACTTGGGCCATACCTAATCACTTGTCCTGAAGAGAGGCATTTTGCTACGTGTTGGTAAAGCGATTGATGAATATGCTGTGTATACTGTGAATAAATTTGTTATTTTTTTACAATAAATTTATTATTATACATGAGATTTTCCATTATGAAACATCATTTGGTAAATATTTATTCAACACCTACTATGTGACAGGCCCTGTGCATTGGCCTCGGGTGAAAAGGGCAGATATATCCATGTCCTCATGGAGTTTACATAGTTATTCTGTGCAAAAGGATGCCTTTATCAAGGATAGTAAATAATTCTGGGTTCTGGATTTTCTTTTGTGGTCTATTTACATATGCGTGTTTTTAATGAGTATAAGCTTTTTGTTAAAATATAACATACACAGAAAAGTGCACAAATCATGTGTACAGCTCAGAGGATTTTCACCAAGTGAACTCATCCGTGAAATCAAGAAACAGAACATTGCCAGGCTCCAGAAGCCCCCTTTTAAACCCCATTCAGTTACTAACCTTCCCAAGGTAACCACTTTTCTGACTTCTGATATGATAGATTAGTTTTGCCTTGTTTTGAACTTTATAGAAGTGGAATCATATGTTATACAATCTGTGTCTGCCCTCGTTTGTTCAACATTGTGCATGTGAGATTCATCTGAGTTGTTGCATATAGCTGGGTTCGTTCATTCTCCTTGCTGTATTGTAGTCCCTTGTATATATTACAGTTCATTTATCCATTCTATCATTAAAGACATTGGGAATATTTCCAGCTTGGGGCTGTTGCTGACAGTGTCACCATCAAGATTTGAGTACATGTCTTTAGGTGGACAAGTCTGTTGGGGATATACCTACTGAGTTGGAATGCTGGGTCATACATTATGCATATATTCATCTGTACTATGTACTGCCAAACAGTTTTCTCAAGTGTTTATATCAAGTGATAGTCCCACCAGCAGCGTATGAAAGTTCCAATTACTCCACATCCTTGCCGAATCTGGCGTTATGTACTTTTTCATCTCTGTGTGTTTTTTAAGTTAAAAAAAATAAGTAGAACAGAACCACTGGGACTTTGTGGTAAACAATGAAACATCATAAAGTTTATGGCAACAGTGATAATCTCTCAGATTTTGGTCTGTACCAATGATTCAGAATGGTGTTATAGTGAATTACAAACTCTGCTTAACTGTTGACCGAATCAAAGCCACTGTTTACAGTGGAAAATCCTGCAAAAGTGGGTCTTTCTTACATTTTGAGCTGTGGCTTTTTCAGGCCAGTAGCGTTGGACCACCTTTTTATGCAAGAGGGCCAAGTTAGAACAAATAAAAATATTTGCAGGCTACCCTCTTTGAATTTCAAAATAGACATGGCTTTGTTGAGACCTGGGGAAGAAACATACATCTGATGTGCATTAACCTACCATATTCAGTAGAAGAGTAGAAGTGAGAAAGTTGGAGCAGCTGTTAGGCAGTAAACTATTGACATTGGATCATATTTGAGAAATGGCTGTAGGGAGACAGCTGTCATCTGGAAATTAGCTTGTCAAGCTAGGAGGGCTAACTTTTAGACTGAGACCCTAAGAAGGGGGCTATATTGGCAGCCCATCCTCCCTGCTTTAACAGCATCTCCCAAGGAGGAATTGTATATGTTAATGGATCCAGACTCCAGGCCCAAGACAGAGGGTCCAGCTGAAGTAAAGATGAACCTTATTCTTGGAAAGATGCTGATGATTTCCTTTTTCTTTTCAGTCCAAGATTTACACTTACACACCAACTTTATATTTGGACTTCAGATTGGGCCAAGGAGCAAAGCATTCCCAGCCTATTCCTAAAGGTATGATGGGCTCTGCAGTTTAGTGATCATTTCAGGGGGAAAAAAACCCACAAGGGGCTGCTTTCTCTGGAATGGACTTGTTTCTGAACCTCAACACAAAGTTCTATGAACCCTGTTTACGTTTAATTATGTTTAAATTAGCAAATACTGCTTGAGCTTTTCAAGTTAAGAAAATCAGGAGGAATTCATAGAATGTTAGGGCTGAACTGTTGGGGCCGCCCCTCATTTTATCATTGTGAACGGTGAGACCCAACAGATGCGCTACTTGCTCAAGGCCACGTGAGGACTCGCTGGACACGGCAGGACGTTTACCCAGGTCTCCTGACTTCTGGGCTGCCTTTGACTCACAGAGTTCCTGGAGGGCAATCCAATCTGTGTTAGTTATGAACAAGTGCATTCTTGATTGAGGTACAGCTTTTGTTATGGAGGATTTACTTTTAAGTCATCGTTTAAATCCAAAGAGCAGTTAGAAAACTTCCAAGTGTTGAAGGCCAGTTTTATTTTTAAAAATGACCACCCCTGAGATCATTAGGCATCAACCTCGGACCCATTCTTTTCTTTGGTTTTTTTCATTCTGGCTATTTTTAAGTACAGGAAGATTTTTTTACATGAATGCATATGCCTACCTTCATACATAATTTTTATAGCAATAAATGTGCTAGCACGTGTGCTTGAAGTTTTAGTGCTGTGGGTTTTTCTTTTACTTTTGCGTTTGCTTTCCTCTAAACCCTTTCCCTCCCTCATCCACCCATAGCAGTATCCTCCCTGTGTATCCCAGATCTGGAGTAGATGCCAGACATATCCTTGAATTCGATCTTACAGTGTTTTGCTCGACACTTACTCTTCTCACTTTCATTTATGTGCATATAAATATACGCACATACAGGGTTATTTTGTCCTTGTTTTACTAAAATGGAATCATACCAGAAATATATTTTTTGCATCTTGCTTTTGTGACCAGACAATATACCTCATGGAAATTCCTCCGAGTCTGCTCGTATGGCTTGGTTGAACGGCGACTTTCTACGCCATGGGTTGACTACGATGCATTTAGCTCTTCCCTGTCAGCGGGTGCTCCCCTTGTTCCCTGCGCTTGGTACTGCACAGTGGTCTGCAGTTTCTCCATGACCCCACCAACACTTGCGTGTGTGGTTCATGTTAATTTTGACTCTGCACTCTGCTGCCACCCTATATATTGCCTCATAAGAGAATGTGTATCTGTCAGTTTACAAAGCTGTACTTGTAGATTTTGTCATTATGAATTTTAAACCTGAGATTTGTTTTAAAAAATGTTTTGGAATGCATACAAAAACAAGTAGCTCAGAAATGCATGTATATCACTGAGTCTCTATAAACCCACTTTAAACGAGTCTGTTATAAACCCAGTTATGCAGAAGAACCTTTCTTTTCCAATATGTCACTTCCAGTTACAGTGTGTTCTCCCCCCCACCGTGCCCTCACC